TCCTCCTTCTCGGAGAACCCCTACCATAGTACGTTAGGGTTTAGGGTCTAGGGTTTAGGTAGGGATTTAGGGTGTAGGGTTTACCCCAAGGGTCCAGGTGCCCAAATATGAGGGCTCCAGGTATCAAAAGCCATTCAGACTCTTCAGATTATAGCAGTTGGGACCTTAAGCCCTGCCATGTGGCTATTTGGGACCCTCTCAGCTCACTGATGATTAGCAGATAGTAGGAGGGAATCAGGGAATATAATCCCAATTCTATAATCCCCATATTATATGTTCCTTTATTCCCCACTAATCACCAGTAATGAGGAGAATTGTATGTGTACACCTCTTTCTGTGAGTAGAAGCCGAATTTTGTCGAAACAAAAGGTAAGGCTGAGGTAGCCAACCCCCAGAGATTTCACCAAACCCCAAAGATGGTGACAAACCCCCGGAAGGTTCCGCAAAACCCGCCGGGCCCGGAAGTAACTCTAGCTTATTAGATGTTGGTATGGAATAAGGGAATAGAATCTCAACTATATAATTGCAACTTCCTTACTCCCTACTAACCACCAAGGTTGTCCGTAATTAGGCCCCAAACCATAAACCCTAAGCCCCAATATGAGCCCTGGACTAAATTTGTAGTACGCGGACTGAAGGAGTCGGTCATTCGAATGGTGAGACCGCCAGTTGGGTACTGGCGCGAGTAAACAGGAAATAGGCTACAGTAATTCTGGACTAAATTTGTAGTATATCCCTTAATAGGTCCACCCAAAAAACCGATATATTCCCTTCATAGATGCCCCCCAACCTAAATTTAGTCCGTAGCTCATACAGGTTATCCGATGCACAGACGCCTCTTCCTCGGAGTCTTCGCTGGCACTCGCATCGCTGGCCTCCACCTGAATCAGCAAGCCAAGAAGAATCCAAAACCCTATCCATCCCTATATGCCCATATATATAGAACTTTACTCATATACTCATATATATATATATGTATTAATCTACTTACATATATGTATACGTCCCTATATATTCCCATAGCCCCTCCTAGAGGCCCAAATCTGTGGCTTTTTGCCGCGCCTGAGCCATGAGGCTATGAACTGCGTGACCATCCTCAGCCCATGCATTTAAATCTAGAGATCAGGGTTCCATAGAGGTTGCACAGGGGTTACATAGGCGTTATATGGGGTTATATAGGGGTGCCGTAGGGGTTATATAGGATTCTTCCCATAGAGCTCTTCTTGCTGGGTCTTAATGGATTTGGGGTTTAGGGATCAATTGGGACTAGGGATTAGGGTTTACGGTTCAGAGATTAAGGTTTAGCCTTCAGGGATTAGGGTTTAAGAGATTGATTAGGGATTCAACCCCTCTGTCGCCCAATGTGCAAGGTCTCTGATGGGAAGTATTTCACATTCGGAGGGGGGGGTGCTTAATATTCGTAGGGAAACAGTACTTGTTAAGGAGTGAAAAACAGGATCCAGCATATAGTCGCCCGCGACAGGTTTCCATACATTTGTCCATTCCTTCATCTGACCCCTTCTAAGAACCACGAAGGTCTTTGCTTCTTTCCCTATCTTACCCCATATTCTCCCAAGCCCAAGATAGTAGTTTCCATTTTCTTTTCCATTATCCCCAAATAATTAACCCCAATATACTACAGTAGTTTCCATTTTCTTTTCCATTATCCCACCCTAAACCCTAAACCCTAAACCGTGTAATATACCTCCCCCAATTTTACCTCCGAGGCTGGGGCCATGCCGAAGAAGGAAGCTACTTTCCGCAGCTCCTCAGCGGCTGCCAAGACGATTACAACAAAGAACGACGAATCCAGCCAGTGCCCAGTCATTGACTGGTCCCTCCTGTCTTGCACCTCTTCCCATCTGAAGCATTCGCTCAAGTGTATTTCTGAGTTTCAGATAAGATGCGCTTATACACAAACCTTCCCCCGGCCCGGCCTCTCAATTGAAGCGCTTCTGAAGTCTCTTGGCTCGAGAATGCTTCTCACAACACTGCACATGGCAGTTGGCGTTGCCGGCTCCCACTCCGCCCATTGAACTTGGAGCGTGGCAATTCTTCCATGATAAAAAAATCACTCCCTGATCATAGATGGCTGAGCCAGAACAACGAACATAGCAAAATAAGGACCGTGCCTTTGCATCCCTTTCAGTACTGCTATCCTCCAGCCTGACAGGGCGCAGAGCCACAGCGGAGTTTCAAGAACCAGTCAAGATCTTAGCTCCTGACGGGATGTTTCGGGACTCGAACTCCTTGGAGAAGTCTACCTCACTCAAACAACCATGCAAAGCTCCTCGCTCCTGAAATTCTGCGTCGGCCGTGCCTTCAGCAGCTTTGCCGCCCCATTCTTGCGCTTGGGGGACGACATGGCTGAAGCCCTGCTGAAGACAGCCCGTGTGATTCTGAAAATTTGTCTGCGGAGGATCAGAGGGGAGAAATTTAATGATCCCATTTTTGAGAAGCAGGTCGGTCCACGACTTATGGATGCTGTGGCCATGCATGCAGCAGGTCAGGTTTTTTCTTTTTATAGTTGGCAGCTACCCAAGTACTCAAGTCACTCCATTTTGAAAGCGGATGCCTGCGGATGTCTGCAACATATTCACAAACCCCCAAGCTTTGCACATAGGCTATATAGTCAATATAGCCTAAACTCCTAGTATCCCCCTCAAGAACCCCTGTAATAGTCTTTTCTCATTCCCTACATAACCCTTTAAGGAGTTTAGATCCCTAAACCCTGAACACTATACATAAATATACGTACATCTATATTCCCCTATACAACCCTTGAAGGAGTTTAGATCATGGCTCACATAATCCATGATAGTAGTTTCCATTTTCTTTTCCATTCCTAAACCCTAAACCCTTTATAACCCCATTTTAAACATAACCATTTTATTTTCCATTCCTAAACCCTATATAACCCCATCATGATAAGTTTCCATAGTCCTTCAGCTCACATGCTGCTTCGGCTGTGCCGGCAGGCCTCGCTTCGGCTTGGAGGCCTCCGCATTCCCAAAATAATGACTTTAGGGGGTTTCCCAAATTTTGGGGTACCCTACTAAAGGGGTTTTTAAGGCATGTCTAAGGGGATCTAAGGTTGAGGGTTTAGGTTTTTAGGGGGTTTTACAGGGTTGTAGAGGGGGATAGACGGTGAAGGGTTTGGCTTTCAACAAACTGGGGTACCTTTGAAGGGTTTTTAGGGTGTTACTTAGGGCTATGTGTGAGAATATTTATATTTCAGGGCTTCCCAAAATGAGCGGTACCATCTTGGGGGCCGCCATAATGAGGATACTCATGTTCTGGGGTCTATATTGGGGTCCCCCTAAACCCTAATTTAGTTGCTCTTGGAAGCCGCCCCGCCTCTTTTGGCGCCGCCCGCCTGTGAAAAAATGCTTGTTGGACATGGATTCTCAATCTGAGATAGAATCTCAACTTCTAGTATCCCCCTTAATAACCCCTATAACAGTCCCCTATATAATCCCCTATATAGCCCCCTTAAGTTTAGACTAGTTTAGACTATAGCTGATCTGAGCTTCCAAATCTCCCACCTCTTTCGTTGGGTGGCAGCCCGTGCAGAATCTTCGTCAAGACCTGCGGCCTTGGCGCTGCTGGCATCCAATACATGGTCTTCCTGGTGTTGAGGGTTTAGGGCTAGCATGGAGGAAGGGATACCAATCCCTGCATGATATATTCCCTGGTTTCCTGCTGATTTGCAGTAAGTATCATATCCCAATATCAGCCCCAATATGCTAGAATAGTTTCCGTTGTCTTTTGCAGTATTCCCCATAAGTAACCCCAATATATGTGAGTATTTCCTTATTCCCTACTAACCCCCAGTAAGATTGCGAGAGGAAATGGCATGGCCGAGGTGCGACCGCGAGCTGGACGGGATCAGACCTCAACAAACTGCACAGATGCAATATACACGAGAAGTACGAGTACTATGCAATGTACATAGCATGATACCTGCACATCCCACCTGAGCGCCGAGCACAGCTTTTCCGCGGCGGCGGGCGCGCGTAGGCACAGGCGGCGGCGCGGCCATCGGAGCCTCATCCACCTCGGAAGCCTGTAGGGACGAAGCCTCTTCCTTTGGCGGTGTGGCCAAAAGCTGGGCCTAAGCTGAGCAAACTGCACAAAGCTTCTGGCAAGTTGTCGATCAGGGCTCCGTGCCAACTGCGCTGCCGCCTTTTGCTCCGCGCCAGATCGGGCTGTGAGATCGCCGGGAGCGATAGGTTGGTCCTCCGCAGGGCCTTCGTGCGTGGCCTCTTCACGAGAGGCATCGCCCTCAGTCTCGTGTGTAGCTTCCTCTGCGGCTTCGCAAGGGGAGGGTGCCGTGTCTTGCGCAAGTTCTGGGGCGGCTTCGCCATGCGTTAGAGTCCCAGGTGCAGATGCATCTTCGGCCTCACTTCTAGTGGTCATGGGATACTGACTGTGCACATGGTAGTTTCCCAAAATAGGGGGACCCCGACACATTATAGTCAGTATAGTCCTTAGTATTGGGAACCCCAGATGGGTATCCTAATTTTGGGAAACCCCACATTGACGCAAAGCTTGGTGCCCGACAGGAAGAAGGCCTTCTGCTTGAAAAGCAGCTGGAGCAGACGACAAATCTGTGACAGGCATGGGTCAACAACTTACCGGTTCTTAGAAGGGAATAAGGGAATATCATCCCTGTATAGTATGTCGATTGCTTTATTCCAATATCATCCCTATACAATCCCTAATTCCCTACTAAGAATCGGCAAGAAAAAACATCCGATCTTTTTTGGGGGTCAGATCAACTGGGGAAGCATGGCGCCTAGTGAACACCTTGGCGGACCGTCTTCCAGAAGCACCCTGAGGCACTGCACAGTGCTCAACTTACCGGGGCTCAGTAGGAAATAAGGGAATACAATACTGCCAATATAGCCCTTTGCGATGTATTCCCTTGCCTTGTTTCCTACTAACCCCAGCCCTAAACCCTAATCCCCATACAGTACATCATACTATATTCCCTTATTCTCTACTAACCCCAAGTAAGTCACATATTCCCTTATTCCCAAACACTAGATAATATATCATGATATATTCCCTCATCCTCTACTGACCCCCAGTAAGTGATTTGGGGCTCCAGTCAATGCTCGGGGCAGGCTGAGGAGCTGGCGACCAACGGCCAAAAGGATCCAAAGAAAGCGTTGCTCGAGGGTCCTGACAAGTTCACAGTCGCAAGGATTCTTACTGGGGGTAGTAGGTATTATGGAAATATAGTATATAGGGAGTATAAAAATATCGGGATTATGTTCCCTGATGCCCTACCAACCACCCATAAGGAAGTACAGTCACTATATATGTTGATAAAGTATGCTATAATGTACCATAGTTCGCTATAATGCATCAGAGTATGTTGTAGTATATCATACTAGAAGGAATTGTGTCTGTTCATCTGCTTTGTACCCCCCACTCCTCGGGCACCCACCTGGCAAGCAAGGCTGGAAAGCATGACAGCCTGCTTGGACAAGCCGCAAAAGAGTATGTGCAAGAGCTTTTCTCCGAAGCAAGGTCTTTCTTTCTGAGGCTTCGTAGGAAATACATGGATATATATATATATGATGTTCAAATATATATCTATGTGTATATATTATTTAGAAACTATGTGGGGCTTATAGTCCCTTTTTCCCTACTAAATCAGCCAGAAGCCGGCGTGGATGGCCCAAGTGCAACATGGATGGCTTCAGCAACGCCATCCTCAGTGCTTGGGCCCACGACCACGTCAGCCGCAGCCCTGGCCACGGGCTTCCCATCCCCCATGGCTATGCCCAGACCAACCTGGGCTGCTGTTAAGGAACTTCAGTCTATTATCCCCCTATAATGGAGAATCAAATGGAAACAAATGCAAAATTAAATGGAAACTGGTGAAGGCAGGTATTTAAGGAATTCAATTTAGATACCATCTTGGGGAAGCCGTCTTAATCACTATGTATACTGTATGCCCAGTATGGTAACTATGCTGAACTTGGCGCCCCTGACAAAACTATATTTGTTTTGCTGTTTCTCAGGCTTAGGACAAACAAAAATAAGACACTGTTTCCAAATATCCCTAAGCAACCATCTTCAACATTTCCACGTCATTTTCCGCATCTCCACAAGCAAGAGCTGAGTCAAGGCTTAAGCCAAGAAGCTTCAGCAACTTTTCCACCCCGGTGCCTGGGAGGGTGCAGCTGAAATTATGGGCTCCAAACATCCTTTGGACCTTTGGTTAGGGTTTAGGCTTTAGGTTAATTGTTGTGGCTAGTAGGGAAGAAGGGAATACAATCCCTATGTAATGCATTCCCATATTCCCTACTAAGCGCTAATAAGACTATACCCAAAACCCTACACCCCTAAAACCCTACAACTCTAAACTCTGACCCCAGGTTTTGTTCACGGGTTTACTGCGCCTTTGTTCACTCCAGGAGGCAGAATCTCGCATTGGCGCGCACCACAATCGAGAATCGTGGCGTCGCTGTCTGGACATTTTTCTGCAATCCCCGTAGAACTAGAAACGCTGTTTCTTTTGAAAGGTCCTTGGGGTTCTACTGCCAACAAAAATACCCAAACATCCTAAGCAGATAGGAGGTTTTGGCTGCTGGCAACGCAAAATCGATTCGTGTTGAATTTCCTGCAAGTCAAGATCGAACATGGGCACATGCGCAGTATAGGCCTTTGCTGTCCCAGTACCCCTGTACAGTCCACCACATCCTGAAACGCATAGAACGCAGTAGACATAGCCTACCTACTTTTGTGGGGGACGCCTGGTCAATGGCTTTCAAATCAACCCTCTTATCTGCTGCGTGCCAGGCCTGCCACAGACCCTCGGAGTGCCTCCACAACGTCCGGCATCGCCGCCCAACCTTCCTCCAGAGGAAGTGTGAAGATAACAAACTTGAAGACCTCCTTCAGCGAGCTCAGCGACGGCAGCAGTACCATCTCAGGCTCTCCAGCGCTTTTGATAAGCTCCGTGGCCCAGGTGGGACCCTCGGGCGCCAACTCCACATATCGCACGGACCCTTCCCAGATCGTGGCAGCCAACACGGACACGCGAAGCCCACGAAACCGCCCTCCAGAAGTGGAGCCTAACACAGCTGCCACCGCGGTAGCAGGCAAAGTTGATGAGGCCAGGATTTTTGGAGGTTCTGATGATCGAGTTGAGTCGATGATTAGCGCGCCGTTGGCAAAGACACCCGGCCCAAACGGCACTTGCGCAGAAAGGTCGTCATACCACGGCCCAGGAATTCGACCAGTAGCTACGCACACCTCCAAGCCTAAGTCACGTACAACCTTCAAGGCCTCCTGGTTCTTTTTCGAGATTTTCGCGTTCGTCCCAAAAGGCATCAGGGTCCCATCCACATCAGTAATGACTGCTCTGCACCGGAAGCAAGGAATGTCTGCCATGGTCCAGGCCAGGCTGAGGGCCAGCAAAGACGCACATCGGAACGGTCGCAAAACTCCAGGATCTATGACTCTCCGTGGCATCGCGGCTGCAAGGCAAGCTTTCCAACATGCTGAGGGGTCGCAAGACCGCCTGAATTTTGGGAGGGTGCACTGCCCGGCTAGCAGGAAATGGATGGCGGAGGGTCATTTTCTTGCAGACAATCTTCAGGCTGAGAGGTGCATTCCATCAGTTATGGGTGAATCTAGTTCTCCGTTTTGTAGGTTTGTCCTGCCCCCTTAGGCTACCTTGTTTGCCATTGCACTGCCTGGCGCATTGAAAGTACACGCAACAGCAACACCTGACAGAGCGGAAAAGAAAACCAGCCAGCACGACTCCACTTTCTCACCTCCATCCATCATGTCCCAATCATCCTGGTAACAGTAGGCACAGACACTTGCTCTAACTTTAAACCCTAAATGGTAGTTTCCCAAAATAAGGGGACCCCATATCGACCCCAAGATACTATAGTCCTTATTATTGGGACCCCTTAAAAAGGTACCCCTAATTTTGGGAAATTATCAAACCAAGCAGAAGCTTTTCAGAAGGGGAAGTGGGACCTCCAGCTCCCAGCCACTCTCATCCTCCGCAGTGTCCTGAGCCTTGCGCTCCTTCAGTGGGCGCTACGGCCGTTTCAGGGCGGGGGTCTAGTATACTACAGATCCTAATATGCAGTAGGGTACATAGCACATAGTTATGAAGTACAGAGTAGAGGCAGATGATAGTATATGTATATGGTATGCTGCGGAGAAAAATGGGCTGCATTGTTTTGATTCCCAATCCAATGATTTGGTTCAATGGAAGCAAAGGCCTGCGCTTGCCGCCAGCACACGTAGGCCGCCAGCTCCATTAGGGACACCTACATCTACAATGCTTCATGTTTGTTTGTGAGAGAAAGAGGGACACAGATATGTGTATATATATATACATATGTGTTTATGCGCGCATGTACTTATGCATGTATATGTGTACGTAGGAACGTACATAACGTGATGGGTATCCACGCATGGCATAGACAAAGTTCAACAAGTATCCTGGCTAACAGATACAGCAAGTGAGCTCAGCAGCACCCTAACCCCTAAACCCTTAACCCCTAAACCCCCAAACCCTAAACCCCTGTTGAGTGATGGGCCTCAGCAAAGCTCCTTTGCTCCTCCTCCGACAGCTCAAGAAATACAGCCAGGGGACCTCGCTCCTCACAAACGTCAAAGCTCTGTTGGGCGTTGTAGGGAATAAGGGCATATATATATACTTCTATATACCCATATACAGGGTATAGTTATATATATATACGGATTGACTTCCCTTCTTCCCTACTAACCAGCAGTAAGCGCGGCTCTGATGAGGCTTAAGCTTTTGGGTGGACCTTCCTGAAACCATGTTTTGAACGTGAACTCGAAGCACCACAGTTCGTTAACATAGGACCATTGCCACACAGCTTCGCTGTGGCCAAAGTCAGGGGAGCATGGCCGAATGGCCAGCCTTTGTACACCACTTACTCAAGTTTCAGCCGATCGGATGTGGGTTTCCATAACCGGAGGCCCCCAAATAGAGACCAATACACATTCAATTGATGTCGACATGGTGTGAAGCTTGAGGAGATCAGCTGGAACTTGCAGTAGCTGAAGTTGAGTATTGATCAGCTTCAGCCTATAGAACCTAGTGAGGCCTGGCTTCGTTGAGCCAGAGGCCGCCTTGTTAGACCTGCTGCTGATCCTGGATATGTGCATCTGGCAGCAGCTCCGACGGGACTCTGACCTCGCGCCTCCTCGCCAGCACGAATGCTTCAGATAGACATTGCACTAGATTCTGCAAAGAGTAACACAAAATGAGCTACAGTCTCAACTCCTAGTATGGCCCTTAGTAACCCCTCTAATGCTCCCCTATCCCTTTTATCCTTAAAGGTGTTTAGAATTATGGCTCGCATGAGCTCGACTACCTATCCCTGCCCCTAAAACAGCACCCAGGGCAGTCTTGATCCCACGCAGCTGCTGGCGTCGGTGACGCCGTCTGCTGTTGATCTCCACCAAGGTCAAGGTGCCCTGCCCGTGATGGCCTGCCACCTCGGAAAAGCCAAGCCCTCTGACATTTGAAGATGGTAGTTTCCCAAAAAATAAGGGGACCCATTAAAAAAAACAACCAAAAGCCTAAAGTCCTTAATTATTGTTCTTGGGAGCCCCCCAAAAAGGTACCCAACAGAGACCCCCCAAATACCTATATTCCTTATTTATCATTGGGATCCCCGAGGAATTGTACCCCTACTTTTGGAAAACTCCCAGATGCAATCCCATTATCCCAATATAACCCCAATTTAATCCCCTATACTAAACCCTATATATCCCTTTAAAGGGACCTAGGGTGTCCATTCTATTTTCCATTATCCCCTATATTATACCCCAGATGCAATCCCGGGCCTTCATGATCAGGTCTGTCAAGGTATACTCGCCTTCGTAGGTCTCCATGTGAGCCACGTTCTTCACGGCGTTCATGATGTCCTCAGTTGTTCAACTCACTGGTTCTTAGTAGGGAATATAAACACACATAATAGAAATATACATAAATATGTACATGTATGTGTCTATATATATATATAGAAAACGTCGCACTACAGGCCCCTGTTTTTGACATGTCTGTTTTATTACTAGTTGAGCACATTGTAGCACGACAGACTCTAGTTCTTCGTATATCT